GCGAAACCTCCGCCCGGGAGACTGCGTCCTCCGAAGGTTTGAAGGCCGTCCATCGAAATTACACCCAAAATGGGATGGTCCTTTCATCATACAGAAAGCAGACCCCCACGGTACGTACACTTTGATGACATCCAACGGTCATGTCTTAAAAGCTAAAGTAAACGGCTGCCGACTTAAAAAATTTAAAGGCAATCCAGACCGGTTTTACTTCGCCTCTAGCAGACTTCAAAGACGAGATTCCGCCGCTGCAAAACGAAGCAATGGGACATCTCGTAATGTGCCGTGAATCCTTTGAAACTGTTATCCATAGAGGATCAGACGACTTCATAACAGACTTCGGCATATTAATTCAACAATTAAATGAATCTGTTTCAAAAGAATTGAGCCGTCCAATCAAAGGGAAACATCGTGAGTAAACTGGGAAGTTTACCGTCTTAAGGAGGGGATGGTGTGATTCCCTATTTCGAGCATAACCCTTTGTTCTCTCTTTACGCGCTTTACGCGCTTTTCAATATGCCCAATATCTTTTCATCGCTTTTAAGCGCTTTCCATTTATTTCCTTTCTCTCATATTTCGTATTCCTCCTTGTTGTAATCGAAACGGACCGTACCGGATCCGTCTCGATCTAACCCTACATTGTTCTAACTTGTATTACCACTAATTGTAATACCGGATCCTGCAGTACCGGATCCGGCGCGTCACTACCTAAACATCTTGTATCTCGGCGTTCTTGCCATTCTTATTGTATTTCCTTATTTCCTTATTTGTGCTCCGCCCAAAGATGCTCGTCTATATAAAGACTTCGCATCTCCCAAGTAATCAAAGCCTCAAGTTACTTCCTGCTCATAATTCGCACCCTAACATTGTGAGTAGAATCACAGCACCAATCCCAAATGCACGCTGAAGTCCAATCCAATGACCTATAAGAAGCGACCGCACAGCCCATCCATAGTAAAACTCCCCCCATCCGCTTCACACTCTATCAAATCATCACATCTAAGCCCCACAATAAAATCCACCAACGCTTACTTTGAAATCAACACTTCTTTCAACGCACACTAGCCAATTGGGCGGCGGGCGCCGCCATAAACCATGGAGGACGTACATGATGAGTAGTGATATCTAGTACCTGATGAAGACAAAAGAATAGAAGCAGCTTACCATATTAACACAATGATTGAATTTAATTAATTGCCAAACAGTGATGTCAATTTCACTCAAGCTCTGCAAAAATCAAGAACAGGAACGATATTTTAGATCATGGTGAGTCGCAGAACCAAGGAGAGTCTCTTGCAGTTAAAATTAAAAACCATGTTTGTTTGTTCTTTACTGGGTTTGCATGATGTAGCAAAGACTGAGGAAATCAAGATCAGTAATCATTGGCTTATAGATACAACTAATGGTTTCTTTGGCTCATCATACTACACATGTTATTGTAAGATTGTGACATCATAGTTTGACTTTGTTCTATATAAGATCCTGTGTGCTCTTTACTTAGATCTTTTTCTTCATCAAACTCAAACATTTATCTTTTGCAAAATCTTTCTTTCATCCAGATTGTTCATCTTTATTTTGGTCAAGTTCTCAGCTTACAATAAGCTGATTACCTGCCTCTCACAGGTAATATCCATTTTAGTTGGCCCACCACCATGCCGCTGTTATGCAAGCCATCATTTACATATTTTGATCAATACCCATAAAGTGTGTAGGCTCTCTACCCAAACTGATACCTGCTTATATGAGTTCTATGTCACTCTGTAGTGTTCCTCTTCAGTTGTCGGCTTCCAGGCTTTGGCTCCGCCAAAGCCACAAAAGCTCTGGCTGATTGACCAGTTGGTGAAATTTCTGGATCAATTCTTGAACTTTGTCCAGGTTCATCTTAGCAGTGATTTTGGAACCAGCAGCCATTTCAGCAATGTATTGTTTGAGTTGAGATATACCATTTTGGCTTCATACACAATTTGACCCTTCACAGTTACTGTAGTCTTTGGGGAAGTGGGGAATGTGACCACAGAGAGGGGGAAGCATAAGAAACCTCACAACAGTATACTTACTATTGCGGTACATGGGTGCAGTGCTGATAGCCTTGCAACAGTTGCTGAGAAGGATCTGTCCAAACTACTGGGCCAGTTGATATTGTTCTCCTTTTAGCATGTCAATTTTGTCAAGCATCTAACAAAGCTGGGTTGGCTTGGTTCATGATCACCAGAAATTAAGAATGTGAACATGATCAGCTACAGGTTGGAATCATGATGAATTGAGAACTTGCTTTGGCAGGGATGACCCAATCTACTGTTTGCAAACAGCCATAGATACTGCAAAAAAAATATGTGAGCTCCAAAGAAAGCTGCTACTTCAGAATAAAAAACAAACGACAATCTCCAAAGCAATCTGACAAACCTAATTCCAGACTGAATCAAAATGACAGGCTTTCAAAGGATTGAAGACCAGCTGGATACTTTGAATGTAAGACTTGTTAAGATATCCTATCTTGATGAGTGTGGTCAAAGATCATTTCCTGTTTTGGTAAGTGTGATGGATAAGAATGGAGGTGGTAAATGGTTCTGTAGTAGTTGTATGTGATGCAAGACTTAGCAGCAAATCTGATGGTTAACAAAGGGGCTAATGCATGGAAGTTGAATCAAGGGATGCGGCTGGATTTCTTTGGGGGTTTCCTTCTCTATTTGTAATTCTCTCTTTCCTCTTTTCTGATTCTTTTTGTGTCGAAAAGAATCAGTGAGTTTTTCATCTTTCAATTCAGATTTTGATCATACTGTTAACTGATATCAATACTGTCATCTTAGAAACTTTTTTATTGTTTCCTGTTCATCTTTCCTTACGCGCTCTTCTTTTATTTCGAGCTCGCAGGTAGATAGAAGTCCATCTACTAGATTCCAATTTGTCTCTTTTATCTGATAAGCTTTACTTTTTCACTTTGTTCTTTTGTTTGTGGTCTGTTAGGTTAGTTTCCTGTTCTCGTCGTTGACTAGCAGACAAGCTTTAGTCTGACGCGGAACCTGTGCCCTCAGGTGTGTGGTGTCGAAAAGAATCAAAACTTTTTTATTGTTTCCTGTTCATCTTTCCTTACGCGCTCTTCTTTTATTTCGAGCTCGCAGGTTAGTTTCCTGTTCTCGTCGTTGACTAGCAGACAAGCTTTAGTCTGACGCGGAACCTGTGCCCTCAGGTTAGTTTCCTGTTCTCGTCGTTGACTAGCAGACAAGCTTTAGTCTGACGCGGAACCTGTGCCCTCAGGTATCCTTTTTCGTACTATTGCATTGTCTAGCGGTGAAGTCATCTCAAGACTCTTTTTAGATTCTTGTGTTCTGTTCCGTCGAGAACTTTATAAGACTCCCCAGGTTGCTTGTGGTTGGCATTTAGTTAGTTTCTTTGCTTACTATCACATATGATTGAGTCAATTACAATCAGCTTGATTCAGATGATTGGGAAGAGATGGAGACGATTTAGTGATTGTGAAAATGATATACTAATTGTTTACCAATCATTTGTTGGCCAAGAGTAAGACAATCAATATGAGAGGATGAAGGCAAAGTGTTGATTGGTGTGGAAGTACTGAGTCCAATCATCTTAATTGGTCCAAATGAGTGTTTTGGTAGATCTTAAGGCAATTAGTTGTACAATTGCTTTAAGTGTTGTTCCATGGTTGTGATAGATAGATATATCAAAAAGCTTCGCAAAATGTTGAATCAATCCTAGAAGGTACAGTGTAACGCTTTAGATTTTTGATACACCGCTTAGAGCAGGGTCTTTGAGTTTGAATATCTGATTTAACAACCAATGATGGTGTGTTGGAGATGTAAAATCAACAGTCCCCTTTGGATACCTTTGACATGAGTCAAATGTTTCAATTCTATAATCCGACCAAGCTGATTTTTGGGGCTGAAGCTTGGTAGCCTTTGTGATGAAGGCATCTTATCCCAATGACTCTATGGCTTATCAAAAGATGACTTATCATGCATTTCAAGATCATTCCAATCAAAATAACAAAATTGAGATAGTACCTGCTTTGCATTGTCTAAACACTTACTTTCAACGATTGATCTCAAATAATAAGATGTCAAGGCCCGACTCTCAAAGCTTGCAGACCTTGTGATAAATTAGATAGAGCCGGCGCGCCATCATCACGATTGTTCTTTCGACTGATCTTTGAGCTTTTGATGAAAAATGAAGATCACATATAACCTTGACCTGACGAGCTTTGTAAGAGAACGATTTGAAGATGAGTGAGAGTTGAAGGTGAATGAATCATTGAATTTGATACTAAAGCACCTTCAGTGTTGAAGATGTAATTATAGATCAAGATGAGTTGATGTCAATTACAAAGTGATCAATCCAATGATGATGGGATGTGAGCTGATGCGACCAAATCTGCTTGTTTGATTTCAGTCGGAGAAAGTAATTCAATTGAGGTTTTTGAATGAGATCGGATTAACTTGTATGATAGATGACCAGTTTTGATTTGATTAGTAATATGAGTCTTTGCATCTACAATTTCTTGCAGCATATCTTCTAATTGATTTTCTTCTGATAATTCAAAATTTATTCTTTTTCTAGATAATCTACTTTTTGTTGGATGATTTGATATGATTTGATATTCTGATCGATCGAAAAAACCAAATTCATTTTGATCTTCTTGATCTGATGAATTGGTCAGACTGGGTTCTTCTTGATCCAGTTTGGGTCTTGGGATCGATAGGTCTTATAGTAAATTCAAAGCTATGATTCTTTCCCTGTAGGTCTGTTTGAGTCCTTCTACTTGAGTTTGTTGCATTAAATTCATTAGTTTTGATGGTTTCATCACATGCTTCTTATCTTCAGGTATTTGAGTCCGACTCGAGGATCCTATCAAATCTTTGTTTGGTCTTGATGTCTTTCATCGGTTCAGACGATTTGGAATTCCAGCTGTTTCCCTTAAGGTTGGTTTAACCTTTATCGAGTTTTTTGAGTTCGATTCTATCCCTATGAGTTCATCCAAATCGGACCTAAAGAAAGCTTTTGGAAAGTTTGTTTGATTTCGTTTTCACAAGAGTGGCAAGAGCGTGATTCAGTGGTTCTCTTTCATCTTCTCTTCGTTGTAACTCAGTTTCAGAGTTCTTAATTCTCCCAACAAGTTGAGTGATTTGTTGATCCAAAGTCCTGATAGAAAACCTGATTTCGTGTGACTTAGCAGCGTCTTCATCATACTTAAGTGACCAGGTCGTAATCTCTTTGACGGAATCTAATCGACTTCTGTTCGTATGTTGATATCCTCCGGAGACCGTACCTTTCTTGTCAACCTTGTCACCATCGAGAGTGATGGCACTGAGTTGATGACTACGAACATATGCACCAGCGATTTCAAGGTCGGGACATACGATAGTCTTTGCGAAGACTTGCTCAAATGCTAAACGATATGTGGGATCATATCGAAACTTTTTGATTCTAGGAGAAAGCACCACGTCAGATATTTGACAGAAGCCATGAGTTGTCAATTCAAAAATTACTCACATTGCTACGACATCATTAGTCGAAGGATAGTTGATTTGCTTCGGTCGTAGACGATTCAGAGGAATAAATGTACACCTTCCCTTTTTTTCCCGGGTCATGGCTTCAAGTACACGGGTAACTGTCTCGTCGATGTCTACGACCACATGAAACAGGCTGAATAGATGACATATGCGAAGACATCGTGAAAATATTCAGCGCTGATATAAGAGAGAGGCAGTGAGACCGACTTACGAGTTCCCAGCCGTGGCTTCTGTTGCTGTCTTGTAGCGATCCTCAACTTCGAAAAGCGAATACAAAGGTCCATAAAGCCCTTCAATTTCACCATCACTGATCAACTTTTGAATAATCTCCAATCCTTGGGCGGTATTCTGTAGTAAAACTCGCTGAGATCAGATAGACTCAGCCACCGAAGCTAAATGGAAGATGACTGACTCTATCCATCGTCATACTTAATTCTTTCATCGCTTTATCGCGTAAGGAAGCTGCATGTTGCATTGACCGCGATACTTTGGTATCTTCTTTCCATAGTGCTTTACGCTTTTCGGTCAATTTGTTGTGCTCTTCTTTGTCTTTTGAGAGATCGCGTGCTAGCTCCTGCAAACGTCGTTTGCGTTGGTCGAGTTTGTCACGGGCTTCTTGCGATTGACTTTGTACTTCAGCTAACGATTGTTTGGTCCCGTTCAAGTCATTGGAGACTGATCTGATCATGCCCTCGGCTGACTCTAGCACGCCTTTCAGCTTACTGATTTCAGACTTCAGGTGGGCATCGCGTTCTTTCTGAGTTTTGAATTGGTTCGATCTTCCCCGTTTGGCATAGAGTGCGTCTACCGTGTTTTTGACATGGGCCAAACGTTCTGTACATGCGTTCGACTCTACGGCTTTGGCTGCCGCTTGAGGAGCCACAATCGCGAGTTCGCGCTCTTTATCTTGAATCTCCATCTGCAGTTGCGCTAGCTCCTCTGACAATCTCTGCTTGTTCTTTTGATCTTTTCCTCTCACGTCTTCAGAGTCTCGCAAAAGGCATTCTACTTGAGTTTTGGCTTTGATGTTATCCCTTCGTTCGGTTTCAACTTGAACTTTTTCAACATCAAGACTCTCTACATTACGTTTAGCTTCGGCGAGATCAGAATCCAATTGAGTAATTTGACGTTCTCTCGCTTGAAATAGAGAAGTTCGATCAGCTACAGTTTCAAGCTCTTGACGACGATCTGCATCAAGTTGTTCTAAACAATCATTGGCTTCTTTCAATTCACGTGAATAAATCCCATATTCAAGACATCTCCTTTCTCGATCCTTCTCATGATACTCTTTCAATTCTTCTTTTTCTTCATCTAATTCATGTAATCGAGTTTCAATGTATTCTAATAATTCATCAATCTTCACTCGTTTTGAGGAGGTATCATCCATGATTTTGACTGATTCAGTACGTCGGTCTCCGTAAACTTGGGTACCTGCCACTTCCTTGAGTAGATTGAGTCTTTCAGAATCTTTGATGTTGGTGAGATGAGTGATCTTTCACACACAAGAACATCCCAGCAATCGTGACGTTAAGCAAAAGCCGGTGTGTAGTGTAAAAATGACAGGTCAGCTAAACATCGTTCACAAAGTGTGAGAAAACTACAGGGATATCTAAATGACTGACCCTTCCCTGAGGGACAATATAATAAGGATTACTTCTGCTAAATCCAGCTGATTCAAGTAAAGACATGATCTCCCCTTTAGGTGTAGACTTTTTGTCCAGAGAGTATTCATCCTTCTTTGAACCGATAGTCCTTCGGATGATCACTTGAGTCTTGCCTGTTGGAAATCGATGATCCGAGTTATCAAAGGTAGCTTCCACAAAGGCTGAGAATGTCGAATTATTATCAGCACCCTCGTGCAAAAGACTTTGTCTTTCCTCTCGACCCAGAGCATTATATTGATCATTTAAAAGAAATCGAATTGCTGAAAAGAAGTTGGATTTGCCGGAACCGTTTCTACCAACGACCACATTGACTCCAGGTGAAAACTCTTCTACTATCGTAGCATCTCGATAAGACTTGAAGCCTTGAATGGTCAAAGACTGCGAAGACCAAGAATTTTGATGAGTGTCGTGTGACTTGGGTTTTTAGGCAATACAAAGCAGAGAATGATCAAGATGAATTGTCTGACTTTGATAAACATCGCTTTCGTCAATCGTCGCTAGGTCAACACCTCGTCGAGGGTTAAATATCAATTTTTGTTAGTTAGGCTCTCTCGGAGACTCTCTTGGTCTATTTTTTTAATTTACAAGTTAAAACTCGACTCATGATGTTGTTGAAAATTGTAATGTTTTGTTGGTCTTGAACTTCAAAGTGTTTAGTATGTTGATATCTCTTCTGAACGGTTATAATTCTAATCCCATTTTACTTCTAGTACTTGTGTTGAGAAAGCATGGTTGCGGGTTTTCAGTTGTGAATTGAAATTTTCTTCCAAAATTGAAAGCCGAGACACATTTGGAATCGGAATCAATTTCTGTGATAAATAATTAAGAGATAAGTGATTTGGTTTAGTCTTACTACCTTTGCTAAAAAAGTTGACCGGGTCGACCGCTGATGAAAGAGAAGTGAGCTCGAATTTGGCCGCAGCCTGCTGTGCAGCTGCTGCGCAGGTCCCCAAAATCCAAATCCGATGCACCCAAAAAAACTTCAGGGTCCCAAAATCACAGCCTGCTGTAGGATTGGTTTCAACCCCCTGGGTCCCATTCCATTCATATATTGATATTTTCTTAAATCAACATGGTTTTACACCCCCACATGAACCCTCTCTTTCTGGATTTGACTCTGGATTTACCTGAGGTATGGTTATATTTCTCCATGCTTTTGCTTCAACATTTGATTAATGCACTGTCTGATTTGTTTTTGATCACACTTTGATTCCACAGACATCACCAACAGCAGCTGAAAGAGGACCACTCCAACCTGAGGAGAATGAAGAGTTTGTTTTTTATTTTGATTGTGAATTCTTTGTACTAGACAAGGAGGAAAAGTCGGGTTTTGCACTTTATAAGGGCACACACTGTGCGGTTCACTGGAGCTCAACTCAATTTGACTTGGAACAACTGAAGGCTGCATGTGCTGAAGCAGCAATCAACATTGCTACTGGAAAATCAATGACACCATTGATCAAGAAGTCGATTTTCAAGGACTCTGGAAAGTGGACAGCCTTTATTTCAAAAACTCAAAATTTTCCCAAAGGAACAAACAATACTCGCAAATTGTTAACGGCCGAGAATGTTCAGACCTGGGTTGAAGAAGCGCATGGTCACTATCCGAAAAAAGAGGCTGGACTTTGCTATGTGGCCCTTCATCCAAACAAAGTCAAGGAACAGAAAAAACGGGCAAGTTCTATCTTTCTTCCCAGATTGATTCAAAGCTCACATCAGTTCCCTTTCCAGGCTGCTCGAGCCGAAGTCATTACTGCCTTGGCAGAGCAAAAAATAGCTGAGCGCAAGCGGAAACGAGGACCATCCAAAAAGAAGGACGAGCACGCATCTGGCTCTGATGATTATCAGTCTGAACATGTAAGTAGAGTGATCTACCCTTTCCTTCAAGTACACACCTTTGAAAATTGCTGATGCTCTTTGAACTATCAGTACAAAGAGGAGAATTACGATTCTGATTCAACCATAACCTCTGAGAAGGCTATGTCTCCGGAGAATAAATGGGCTGCTGAGCTTGTGAAGCTTCATAAGCTAGAAGTGAATTACAATGATGACTATGCCCCCATAATAGACCCAAAGAATCCAACTCGATATTTTGCTCTGACGCTAGACAAAGCTACAGAGTGGGCCAAACATCGAGTAAGTTGTTTGCCTTTGTCACTGTCTTTAGGTCAAAGAAGCTGACATCTTTATATGTCAGAATGATGATGAGGTTGATTTTGATCATCCTCCGGCTCACATGAAATACGACTTAATCAAGAAAAAGGACAAGGCTTCAAGAGACACACCAGCTGGCAGTGGGCATCCCTTTGATGCCTCATCGATTGCTAATCTATTTGTTGGTGTGGTAAACGCCATTGAGACCGCTCGATCACCTCAAAAGCCAACTTCAGCTGCTCCGGATCATCATCGCGCCAATCCTAATCATTCTAACCAACCTGAACAACCAGTCACCTCTCCTCCTCCCTCATCATCCCCACCAATTGTTTACGACCCTTCGGGACCAAATGGCATTGACGGCTTTCTGGACTTTTGTACCTTACCTCCTGACCTTCATACAGAGACCAGGCAGATGTTAAGAGATGCGGGAGTGAGTGATTACAGGCATATCAATAAAGAAGATTTACCTCGCGAAGATCTTGCTGAGAAAGGCCTCAACAAGATAGCCATCAACACACTCTACACCAACGCTCAAAAATACAAAAAACGCTGCCGTCAGCAAAGAAAGGCAGTTCGAAGATGATATCCTCAAGTAAAATCTCACCCCCCGATCAAGTTCAATTCAAATACATACGCTTCCACTTGTTCTCTTACAGATTCCCCCTTTGATTCTATTTAACCCAAGATCAAATGAAATTTGAAACGACATACAAATCTATCTTGTCTCAGCAGATAGTGAGAACTCAGTAAAATAGGAGATTATTATTTATGAGCACTCTGATCCTTTTCAACACAATTGCCATCATCTTTGAAATCGCACTCTCATATTAATGATACAAGAGAAAGATCATGCATCATTTGAATGATGCATGTAATGATCGATTGACCTAACAAGTTGGCACTCAAAGTTTTTTTTGGTAACATAGTATTGATTTTTATTCTCACCGAGTCAAAACACAACAAACAACATGAGAACAAGGAGATGAAGGTCAAGAACCTGTTGAAATCTTTGCTGCGGTGTTGTGATCGAGTAAATGCGATTTGAGGACTCCCAAGATGATTTCAAAACTGATCGCATAGAACTTAGAGCTTGGATGCGATTATTTTTGAGATCGCACTCTCACCATGACGATCTGAGAGAAATATCCTGATCAGCCATCATTCAAGTGATGGATGTAAGTAATGATTGATTCACTATTGAATCTTTTGGTTGATCGATCTGTGATCGATTCCATTTTGGTTGATCGTTCTATTTAACAAACGATTTAACAATCGATTGTTTTCTTTGTCACTCTTACTCATCAGTCTTGGACTACTGCAAGGCCAATCCAGAATGGGTTGGGCTTTTCTATCACTCAATGTGTCTCTTGATTTGGTTTGAGTTCACAACAAAGGTTTACCAAAGTGATACATTGCAAATTTGTTCACTTCAATCCTCATACCCGTTCTTCAACATGTGAAAAAAGTTAGATAAAAAGATAACAACTGAGGATAAGTTTAGGAATGATATCGATGGCAGATGAGATTGTTGCAAGGTTTTGATTGAGCTAATTGGCGAATTGAAATGATTTTTTTGAGAAAGTTGATTGACAAATTCAACATTTAGACATGTACATCTTGAGACATGCGATATCCGGAGCGACGGTAAAGTTTTTTTGTTAAGGTGGCATCGAATGTTTCCATGGCTGCCTTACGTATCGGTTCCTTAGGGTTTCTAGTGTGAGACAGAATTTGGGACCTACGAAGACGATATTTCAAGACGTTGAATCCTAATTCAATCGGATTCAACTCTGGACAATAGGCAGGTAGATATCGGAGGAGAACACCTACCAACCACACTTGTTAGTAAAGAGTAGACACTCAAGAGGAACTGAGGCGAGATGGAAGATGAAAAACAAACCTTTTCTTTCACATAGCTCACGAATGTGCCCACCATGATGGATGGATGCGTTATCCAGGACAAGTATACTGTTGGGAGCTGGGTATCGATTCATGCGGGGGAGCTGAGTTATCATGCAAGAGATTAGTGAAGAGATTAATATAGATGAGGATGCAACCTACCAGATTGTATTCGAGAAACTGCTCAAAGCGTTTTCGTTTAACCGAGCCCTCTACCACCGATAGAGCCAAGATGCCGTGGTAACTAATCGCAGGGAGGAGTGAGAAGCGACTCCGATAGAGTTTGGGAACATTGCGACTAGTTCGTGACCCAATTTTTGCTCGCTGTCGTACTCGCAGGAGATCACGCCCGCAGATCGCACTCTCATCTATGCAGATGTAATGAAATCAAAATAAAAAAGGAAGAGAATCAATTATCAAAGAAAATAATATAGAGAAGAGAGTGTACACACCAGTGAACACCATAAAATGAGAAGGAGTGTCCATGTGTTCATTCATCCATTGGAGTTTAGCCCAGACATTCTTCCGAACATTGCTCACTGCGGCTTTCTTCAAACTGATAAGTAGGCGGGATCGAAGTTCAAGTTGGATTGTACTTTTTGAGGGCATTATTCCGTGTGCATTGTAAAGCTGTTCCCGCACCTCGTCCAGGAAAAGTGATGGATTCTCGTCGATGATTCTTTCCATGAATTGACGATCATTGTTATTCAAAACTCGGTGTCGACCTCTTTGCTGGTAATCATGAGGATCTCGGATAACGGCTCAAGTGTGGCGGTAAAGAGCCATCCATCGCCGAAATGAACGTTCAGATATGGGCTGTTTCAGTCGGCGTCGAATGATTGACCTAGGGAGTCCTCGTAGTCGCCAAGTCACCGCCAGGACTTTGATGTCTGGTGAATAATAACGATATGGCATTTGATGCAAAAAATCAAATCAAGAATAGTGACGGTGAGGATGAGGTGGAGTTGAATACAGGCTGCAGGCTGTGATTTTGGGACCCTGAAGTTTTTTTGGGTGCATCGGATTTGGATTTTGGGGACCTGCGCAGCAGCTGCACAGCAGGCTGCGGCCAAATTCGAGCTCACTTCTCTTTCATCAGTGGTCGACCCGGTCAACTTTTTTAGCAAAGGTAGTAGATGATATGTATCATGGACTTGGTGAAATTGATGATTTATTTGACAATGATGATTGATAAGATAAAACAGAAGGTTGTGGTGATAATGGAACAGTCAAAGTTGATGGTACTGGGAGAGATGGGAATTGGTTGTGGGCTGTTGTGGGTGGTTGGACGACAGATTTGTTCAATAGATTTGTGGAATAAGAGTCAGGGGTTGTATTAGGGGTGAAGCAGCTGGGTAACAAAACAAATAATTAAGGGTTTAAACCGATTTTGCCCAAAATTTGAATACTTTTGGGCGAACCGGGTTTGCTCTTAACTTGTACACCACGGGGGCACCCTGACCGCCAAATGGTTGTCCCAGCCGGCCGCCAGCAGACCGCCGATCGTTGCGGGGAGACTGACGGCCTGCGGGTAGCCAGTTTGGCGACGACCGTGTGCCAAACAAAAGGAGGCCTGGCCGCCCAGCATGAGGGCGGCTTTGTCGCGCCTGAGGTTTGGCCTTGCGCGACCCTTTGACGGTCAGCAGGCTATGTTCAAAACCCGAAGAGACTCATTCTCTCGGGGCCAAACCCCAATGCGCCTCATCCGCGCTGGTAATTCAATTGGGGCATGAGCAGCTGTGACGATCCAAAACGGTTCATAGCGGGCATAAAGCGGAGTGCATTACTAGGGGGGGAACTCAAACAGTGGAAGAAACTATTGTATTGAACAAACGACTGAATGGAGAGATCATTGAAAAAGAAATGAAAACATTTTTTGGACTTTCAATATGATTGAAGTCTGATTGATTTCTCTGTCAATTGTGGCGAGATTCCAATCATCAACAAAGGAATAACAAAAAACGATCAAAAAGGAAACAATCTCCTCTTCCTCATCCTTTATCTAGTCCCAAGAAATCTCGAGTTCTACAACATGATTCAAAAAGAATTAAATCGGAAGCGTTTTTTTGGAATAAATCAAATTCTTACACAGAAACTGTTAATCAAACTACATACTTCAAATCATTCGATCTCTCCTCATCGAATTTCGTCTCATATTGAAGAATATCAGTATTGGAAAGCGTTTTGTTTACAACCCGCACCTTCACAACAAAAACGACCAAGGAGAAGATTTGAAGAAGTCTGTTTGTTTCCTATTTAACTAACATTTTAGACCCAGCAAGATTATTTGAAACATGTAGGACTGTGACTGGTCTGCAAAGAGCCAAAACTTAAAGCGAAAGGAATTGAACAACGGTTTAATTTTCCTTTGCTTTTTCAAAAATATAGATCGAGAGACTTTACGGTTCTATGTATCCTGGTTGTACCAAAGCATATGAAACATGAAATCATCTTAATGCACATGTCTTGATGCAAAAGAATGGTAGAGAACGACTTCCAGAAGGTCTGTCTTCTTCCTTACCACGACTTATTACTCGATCCAAAATCAACAGTTCACTTTTTAAATAGCATTTGAAGAGGTTAGGAGAGAGTGGAGGTGAGAATATGATTTAATGGGAATACAAAAGAAGATAGGTGAGGGCTTGAAACTTGTTAAAGAGCATTGAAACACCTGACTTACTCACACTTCTCTTCTTGGTTCCTGGGAAATCGATTATTGTACGGAACAGGAATGGATGAATCTCACTTGAAAGATGAATGTGAAATAGTTGAGAGTAACTGCTTACGCCTTAGTGTATAGAGGCCCCTTGACACACAACTTGTAGAGCGAAGGTAATTGAGAGCAGTTGAAAACTGTGAAGGTGACTGAGAAGTTATAAATTCTTCAAAAGACGAAAACTCAAACTTGAGGATGATGCTTGGGGGGGAAACCAAAGGAGTGGGCATCTTGTATCTCAAGACAGCACGCGAGAAAGACCTGAACCCAGGGGGGAGCACGCGACACAAGAAAAACTTGTACGCAGGGGAGGCTTTGCGAAGTCTGTCCTGCCCTGTCCTGCATGGCTCAGCAGTCAGTTTTGAGAAGGTGCCGTGCAATACCGACTGCTGGCCAAACAGGCCGCCTATGGGTCCGCATGGCGCGACTACTAGTCAGGCTGCAGGCTGTTCTGGGCTCGAACAGGGGCAGCCGAGGAAGGCCAGCCCGGGGTGGCCGTCGGTCTACCCAGGGGCGAGCTTCGGGTCAGAATACGATCCGACGTTTTCAAGACCAGTCAGGATCAACTTCTGACCAAGGATCCCCCCGTGGTGTATGACTTGTATGATCTAAACACCATGCACACTTTGAACTGCTTCATCATTGCTGCAATTATCGCCAACCGAGTTATCACTCGCCCTGGTAGCCTTGATTCTGTACTTGTCCCTGCTCATCCACAAGATCTTCAGCGAAGAGCTATCACACCTGATGTTCTACTCAACAATGGAAAGCTAGCTCAAGGTCTCAACGCTAAATGACTATGACGATGGGAACCTCTTGTAATGAAGGCGATCATGCTTGTCTTCAAGGTGGTTTTGCCCAATGTGTTTCCGGAAAATATGTTAGCCTTGGTTGCTCCCCACCTACTGTTTGCTTTGAATTACGTGAGTTTCTGATTTCTGATATATTGATATCTTTACTTGAATCATCAACTGATATACAATCTTATTCTCTCCTTTTTGCATCTCTAGCTTTGTTATTGAAGCCTGGCTCTGTTCCTACTTGCAGTGAGTTTCCAACCAAGTGCTTCTTATACGTTGATTCTCTACAATCCTGTATGCTAATTCTTGTTCTCTATTCTCTATAGCTACCCCTGCCGATGCTGCTGCCCGAATTTCTAATACCGGAGTCCAAGGTGGCGTCAAAGGAGACGGAACTGAAACACCTGCTGGATCTAACTCGACCTCACCCATTGCTGATGCCCCCTCACTCAATGGAACTGACATGGGAATGGGAGACATGAGCAACAATACTATGTCTATGAACACCAACGCGTCTGATGCTACCCCTGATCTAAACGCAACTTCAACCGCCAATAACACTGACGCAGAAAATGTCCCTTCAGCTGAGTCCACAGGTGCCGATGCGCAGAGCTCCTCTGCCTTAAACGCGACGAACCCAGTCGATGATGCTGACAACTCATTCGCCGCCGCGTCTAAAGCTACCAAAACAGACAACGCGAAAGCTTCCACCTCGAGCCCTGTTGTTTCTGCCAACTTAACCGACCCCCAGGCCGCCATTGATGCTAATTCCAGTGTTTCAATTAACTCTACCAGTAACTCGGAGGATGAAGACTGTGTTGAGGAATGAATATAAATTTTTGCGTATTTTTATCTTTTGCTTATGAATTAGCCTGATTTGTCGTTTGTTTCATGCGAAGAATGAGATAATTCAACTGTGTTGAATAATAGATATCAATTGCCTGCGAGTACTGCGCAACAAAAATGGTTGTGTATTGGCAAGATTAGAGCCAGATAAATGGTGTTCTGAAGCTCTTGGCAGCTCATTCGCGCTCTCCTTAAGACTGCTGCATCCTTTCACTACCTACCCATATCTCCCAATTGAGCACGAGGGAGCAAATAAGGTCCATATCCTGTTGATCATGTTCCCTTTTGAACAGCTTTAGCAAGCGAATTATGGGGCTAGGTTAATATGGACATGTTTAAGTTACCACCAAAGGATTTTTGAATGCCTGCAAATAGCTTGTGCATATCCGCAAGTCTGGCTCGCAGCGCTGCTAGGCCATATTTGGAAAGCGCTGCGCAGAACGGGGTGTCTCAAAGCCGGCAGCGTTAAGGGCAGCGGGTCTGGGGTTCAGGGGGTTTTGGGAAGCTAAAAGCGAAGTTTTTTCTCGCAGCGCTTCGGAGCGTTGCAGGCAAAAAAAAAGGTTTTGTATTTTCTTAAAAAGAGAACGTAAAAAAACTGTAAAGAAAAGACCGTAAAGAAACATTAAGAGACTGAGACAATGTTTAAACAAAGTGTACTGTAAAGACTGTAGAGAAATACTGTAAAAGACAAAGGGAAAACAATTGAACTGTAAACATTATATAGAAACTTTTTAAAGGAGTGTAATGAAGATAAGATAAATAGAAGGTAAGAGTATCAAGTTAGTTTTGATTTTGTCTAGTCTTCTTGACCAGGAACTTCTTGGCATATTCAATCACTTTGCCCACTTCTGCAAAGTCACCAGTCAAAGGTATTCCTTCGATTACCCATATTTGACAACTAACCAACATTTCAATCAAGCGAGGGACTAATCCTCCTTGTTCTGCTGTACATACACGTCCCGCGATTGAGAAGGAACTTTCAGGGGCACCGGATGCCGCAGGTGTTGCTAAGTAGTCCCGAGCCAAAGTCGATAAGACAGGGTATTTACCTTCTTGAGTCTGTAAGAGATCAGAGATCAGCTTTGGTAATGAAGTATACAAAAGATGAAAGACGAGAAATTGCTTACACTCCACCACTCCAGAGCATGATCTGGGTTGTTCACATCGGGCGATACCATTGGGTCAATACCCTGAAGGTATTGGTCGAGCTCATTGAGGTTGCTTGAGGTGACTACTTCGTCATAGAGATGAAGGAAGGATGGTCCAACATCTTTGTTTGAAGTCTTGATTGCCAAAGGTGGAGAGACTGGTTGATTTTGAACGTCAGTTGCATCTCGTTGCGAAGTGAATACAGATTGTAGTAATTCTTGGGCTCGCTGGTGATTGGCCGAGTCTTCTCCAAAAACGTGAGAAAAGAATCTGACTCGTAATCCTGGGTGAAAGACGGCAGCAAGAACCAGGGTGTCGCATCCAATAGCTTCCTCCAGATAAGTTTTGATCTTTCCAATCATGACGTCCACCATAGGATAGAGCGGGTCGTTGATGTGCATATTATTTAATCGGCTTTCCATCAAGGACTTGAGCTCCACATACTTGGCGATAACCATACACCCTGTAGGTTTATCGCCTTCCATTTGTCGAGTCAGAATCTTGTATGGCTATCCCCAGACCCGGTCAGGAAATGTCTAATCAGTCAGGAGTCACGATGTAAGATAATAGCAAAAAATAAGAAACTTACTGTGAGTATGTCCAACATATCTTGCATAGCCTGCCAATCCCCCACCGATCTTTCTTGTAGTG